TTCTTTGAGTGTAAGCTTGTTTTTACATCGCTACGTTCATCTACTTTACCAGCTAATTTTGAAACGGCCATGTTTCTTCGTGCTAATCGCAGTATGTGGAGCTGCTCCACCCTTCTCGGTTGCATCGAGGACTAAGTGATAGCAATACATTGTGATTATTGTAGTGATTATTACTGTGTTGCCAGGTATTGCAGTCTTTATTACGGATGTGATTCACGCAAAAAAACACTGGGTATTGTATTTCCCATGCCCTGACCAGTGGAGAAGGCTACTCTACTATCAAAAAAATGATGCATGCGTTAAATCGCTTAGGAGAAGGACACGCCGAGCCTTATAAAGTAGATTTATTTACTGCATTGACGTGGTGAGAGGGTGCGTGGTCGAAGGTGAGCGCGACAACCATTCAAACATTCGGGTTTAGCTAACAAAGCGAGCATCAATAACTTCCTTTGTTAACTTATATCAATACAGGCTGTTTTTCGCTCCAAACTGATTTGAGCAGACTGGCATATATATCAGGCGTTCACTATTCACGCAGAATACTGTAGTGCTGGCGCCGGAGTGCATGATAGACTAGTAGCACCAGCCACAATATCAAGAAAGTCGACACACTGTACGTCCCTCTCCAGTAACGATCTCGAAAGCTGCGTGGGCTCCCAGTTCACATACTTATGTGTCTTAGAAAATCAATTTCCTCAGGCCGTACGAGCACAAAAGCAACGCAACAAGGTGCTGCTGCGCTTAAGTCTCCTCACAGTAGGTGCTCTAAGTCGATAGGACAAGCTGAGACTAGAGACCTGAGGTACGGTATAGCTACCGGTACGACAGTGACGTGTGTCTCGACGTTAAATCTAGCGTTTTCGGTCTTTCCATCCAAACCGCGCAATCGAGTTGTGGTCATTGTTGGAGGGATGATTTGCGCAGAGTTGTTAGGGCAGTACAGTATGGAGTGAGGATAAAAGTAGAGTGGTTTAGGCGGCCATAGTGGAGAGGAAGTCTTGAGTGTAGAAGGAGAAGACGCTTGTGTCGGACTTGATAAAAGGAGGAGAGCTTGTGGTGAACTTGGTAAAAGGAGAAGTGATGAATTATAGAGTCTGGGGGAGTTACTCTCCACCAACCAGTCCAGTTATATACGATTTCTCTATATGAAATAGCACAATTATATTCCACTAGATAGTCATCATCACATCGGAGATGCTTACTTCGACAGCCTCCCACATCGAGGAATGTGTATGATGCTCTATCTGTCGGATAGTATTTAATGTACCACAGGTGGCTGTTTATAACAGTCCTGTACGTACATGAGCATTTACAAGAAGTAGATCTTGTTTTGATATTGATGATCATTTTCCTTTGACTTTCATTGTCAGATTTGTCACCTTGTGCCGTTTTGCTTTGGCAATAACTGTGCTGATTTCTTGTTTTCATTGTTATTTTGGCTACTCAGGAAAACCTTAGAGGATTAAACCTGTTCACCGTAGTGATTGTTGCTGCTATCGTTTTAGTTATACGAATTTGTAGCAGCTACTTCAGGGAAACCTTTAATTTTAAGATTCAAAACCTGTTCGCTGAATTGTTGCTGTTATCGTTTTAGCTTTACGAATTTGTAGAAGCTACCTCAGGAAAACCTTTATTTTTAAGGATCAAAACCTGTTCGCTCTGATGTTGGCTACTCAGGAAACCTTTGAGGATACACCTGATCACCGTATTTATCTTTATATATTTTGTGTAAGCGTTTTAGCTTTGTTCATTTCTTAAACTGCCATTGTTTTGCTCTTTCACATGTGGATATTTCTTCACAATGTGTGGTTTGTTCTTTGTTTTTCGCTGCTGAGGTCTTATAGAATTGCCTCCCAATTTCATGAAATGGTGCTGCAGTCATTTTCAATTTGTTCTGACTATTGTTATTGAGAGCTTATAGTTTTTAAATATTTTTGAAGAAAGGCTACAGCTTTTAAAAGCAAAAATAACATCAAACAGTGTCATCGGTAGCGTACGCATCATATTTGCAGTAAGTGTGTAGGCTCTCGTTGTTGGGGTTATTTTTCTCCCTAGAGGCTCATCAAGTTGTTTCTCGTTTGGAAGTTTATAATTTTATTTTTACTTCGCAAGCGCTAGCGATAGATTTTGCAAACTATCGAATTCATTGTAGATGGAATTGATGCAGTAAAACTATAGTTTGCTTTCTGTAGACAGAGGCTTCTGTAGGCTTGTCTTGTAGTCATAAAGTGTTGAATTTTTTTTTCTCATTCTTTTGGTACTGTTATGCTGGAAATGTTTGAAACTTTTGCCAGTGACAATAAATGCAAAAGTTTGGCGAATACATGAATAGTTTTTGGCGTTGATGCCTCCCAGTTTCATACATTTCATTAAGTATTTCTCTCTCAACGTTTGGGGTTTATATTTTTTTTCTTCGTACTACACAAGTAGTACAAGCTAGGCAGCCTTTGTGAAATTTGCAATTTTTTTTTTGCATCTTGCAAATTGCATGTATGATTTTATACATAAATTTCTTTGGTGAATGTGGCATAAATATGTTTTGAGCAGCTAGGTAACAATGTTTGCACCAAAGCAATATTAGGAGCTCACTTCACTCACATTTTATCTAGCTCACAGCTTTGGGGTAATTTTCTCCCTACTGGCTCTTCGGATTGTATTCCGGATTTTATTATACTTCGAAGTAGTGAGAAGCACGCACACTAATTTAGTCAATTGACAGAGACATTGCTCATGTAAAAAAGTGTTATTGCTTCGTAGGCTCAATATGCAGTGCGTATGGTACGGAGTCCAGGGAGATTCTCCTCTGGCTCAATACGCAGTGCGTATGGTACGGAGTCCAGGGAGATTCTCCTCTGGCTCGATACCGCGTGGCAGACGTGCTGCTCACCGCATGCAGCTCGTTTGCTGGCGTAGAGGGCAACATGGCTTCCCAGCATGGTGATCTATTGCACATGCAGCGCTACAGCTCAGTGGCTGGCGCAAAGTTGGCAGCGTGGCCTAACGCAGGCAAGTGTCCGTCCAGCGATTTCTCACTCGGATCTCCTTCACCTCCCTGTGCCCCTGGCCATTCATGCGGCTTGGAGGTGTGTTGTGTTGCAGCGTCCAGCTCGCCCCTGGAGAAACGTTGGGCTTATAACCTGTTGAGCCAGGTGGCGCTTTGCGTTTGAGCGTTGGGCTTATAACCTGTTGGAGGGATGATTTGCGCAGAGTTGTTAGGGCAGTACAGTATGGAGTGAGGATAAAAGTAGAGTGGTTTAGGCGGCCATAGTGGAGAGGAAGTCTTGAGTGTAGAAGGAGAAGACGCTTGTGTCGGACTTGGTAAAAGGAGGAGAGCTTGTGGTGAACTTGGTAAAAGGAGAAGTGATGAATTATAGAGTCTGGGGGAGTTACTCTCCACCAACCAGTCCAGTTATATACGATTTCTCTATATGAAATAGCACAATTATATTTTACTAGATAGTCATCATCACATCGGAGATGCTTACTTCGACAGTCATCTCCCTTCCAGCGCTGCGCAGCCAGTCGTCAGGGTCTCTCTCTGTTCAAGTGCCCAGAGCGAGACTCGCTACAGTGAGTTACAGCGAGTTACGAGATGTGCTCGTCCTATCGAGTCTGATTAGACCGGTCTCGAATATCTATTTTGTCCAATGAACGCCATCCCATCTATCTCAAATCGGCGTGCGTCAGCGAAACCGACTGCAACAAAATCGAGCCTCGATTCCAGCGAACGCCTCACTTTTCAACTCGCTTCTATCTCCTCAACACATTTTCTAGCCGGGACCATGACGGTCTGGGTGACTCTGCTTCGCGTGGTGACCTCCATTGCCCAGATCGGCATGATCCTCAGTCCAGGACCAGATATTATCCGTGCTCACAAGCACAAAACCACAGGCGAGATGGCCGCGCTTCCCTTGATTGCCATGATCGTCAACAACCATCTATGGTACGAGGCGCCACATAACGATATTTGCCACAATCGAACGTTAACCAAAACCGTTATCCATAGGGCGTTGTACGGGTATCTAACCGACAGCATCTTTCCACTCATGGTAACGCAGCTGTTCGGAGAGATCGCTGCCTTTGTATTCACGGGGATATACTATCGGTGGTCGAGTGATCGCCCGGCACTGAACAAAATACTGGCGTGGGCACTTTTAGGGTATGTAGCCATCACGGCGTATGTGGTGCTGGGCATTGCAGGGGTCTCGAATCAAACCGACGACGAGACAGGCAAAGCATTAGGGTATGCCGGCATTGTGATCAATCTCTGGATGTACGGGTCGCCACTGGGCACGGTTCGGCACGTAGTCAAGACCCGGTCGGCTGCTTCGTTACCGATCAACTTGAGCGTCATGATGTTCTTCACCACCGTCTTGTGGGTCGCCATCTCCATCGTGGACGGCGACATGCTCATCATGTCGTTGAATATTGCGGGTGTCGTGCTTAGTATCATCCAAATCTCGCTCTATATTCGTTTCCGACTGTGATAGCTCAAGAGGAAGGATTCCAGTTCGTCGACAAGCAGATTTCCATTGTGATCTCCCCGAAGGAAGGCATGCTACAAACGGCTAAGAATCCGGTCTACCAGGCGTTGGCGTCGCCAATAGAGGCGACCCGATCCTGAAACGACAAGAATTTGTTACATTACACTCAATAAAATTTTAAACTTTAAAACTACAGAATCGTACTTTTCGCCGAATCAAAACCAACTGAAGCTGTGAAAACCCAGCTATACCATTCTACAAAAATTATGTTCAAGTTTGGTTTAGTTTATTAATACAGTACATGTACCTTGAAGGTGGGTGTCTTGCATTACATTTTTGTGTCGCCTAGCGAAATTCTTTGCATCAGGAGGATGGGGGCCTTCCCATCAGCGAGTTTAGACTCCTCGTCAACGTCCCTTCCTCGACGAGTGGTGCCAATGGTGTTCTCAAACAAGTCAATGATGGAAACCATTTTTGAATTTGCTTTCGAGCAGCTCAGTGCATTCTTTGGTAGCCATGGGAGACTGGGTTACTTTACTTCGAGTGGCGACAACTATCGCACAGTGTGAAATGATCCTGAGCCCTTGCCCCGATATCATCAAAGTTCACAGGAACAAGACAACAGGCGAAGTGGCGGCTCTCCCTCTGGTCTCGATGGTCGTCAACAACTACTTATGGTACGCTTTACGCCTCTCACCGACCTGGATTTATCTAACTGCCTCTCTCTTTTTAGGACGGTGTACGCTTACAGGACCGACAGCATTTTCCCGCTCCTGGTCACGCAAGTGATCGGCCAAATGGCGTCAATTGTCTTCATGGTATTCTACTACCGCTGGGCTGTCGATCGTCGTGCTGTAAACAGACTTTTAGCAAGTGGTGTGGCATTCTCTATGCTCTTCACTGTGTACGTGGTTCTAGGAGTCACAGGAAGCACACACCAGACCGATGATGAAGTGGGTACAACGTTGGGTTACGTGGGGCTAGTGGTGAATCTGTGGATGTACGCGTCTCCTCTGGGTACTATCCGACATGTTATAAGAACCAAGTCTGCTGCTGCAGCAGTGCTGCATCCTTGCCGATCAATATCAGCGTTATGATGCTCTTCAGCACGTCACTTTGGGTTGCGCTATCGATCGTGGACGACGACAAGATCATCATGTCTCTTAATATCACCGGAGTCTTTCTGAGCGTCACACAGATCTCCGTGTACATCTACTACCGCCCGAACAAGTCGATCGTTGCTAGTGAAGACGCGTCTGTACCTATGGATAAGCGCATTTTACTTGTCATCTCGACTTCGAACACCACCCAAGCAGTCAAAAGTCCAATCTATCAGTCTATCGCATCCCCCTCGAAAAGACCCGTCTTTGAGGATAGGATAAATGACAAATGAGAACTGTATTCCTGAAAGGTGATAGTATCCAGATAGTATCTCAACTCGCTCTTGGCGACATCATTTTCTTGTACACTGGACTCTGCGTAGAAGCCACTTCAGCTGTAGCCTTCGCTGTTGGTGTGACGACAACGGATACTTCGTCAATAGATTGGGTAGACTTAGATAGTACAGAGTCCTCGTCTTCTGTTGGTCTATAGATCATGTAGAAGACGATCTCGATGATACTTGACAGTGACCCGATCGCGTTCAGACACGCAACAAAATACATGTAGTCACTATCGACCATCCCCGAAACGACCCACAACGTCGTTGATACGAAAGCATGAGACTCAAGTTGATCGGGATCGAGGCGGCGGATTTCGTCTGCATCACGTGATCAAAGTGCCCAGAGGAGAGCCGAACATTCAGACGTCAATGACGATGCCAGCGTAGCCAAGATACAGAGTTGGACTGGTACGTGGCGCCTAATAGACCGAAAATTGTATACAGGGAAAGAGCACAGTGTGCCGCGAACGCCCACGCGTACAGCACCCTTAACTCCTTCCGCTTGTCTGGCACGCTCCAGCGATAGTAAACGATGTTGTACACGATAGCCGCGAGCTGGCCGAAGACTTGGGTCGCGATAAGCGGGAACATGCTGACGGTGACGTAAGTGTACACCAACCTGTCCAAATCAAACAATAGCAAGCATATGCTAAGTGCAATGACCTTGACCGGAGACGTACCAGAAGTGGCAGTTGACAGCCATCGCAACTATTAATAGTGGAAGTGCTGCCAGCTCTCCAATCTTCTGACGTCGGTGAACACGAGTGATGTCAGGAACAGGACTCAGGTTCAGCACGACTTGAGCAACAACGGTCGCGACTCCAAGGAAAGTGTACCTGAAACCCGTTGTCGAGTGGAAATAAGCTGGTAAAAGTGGAAATGAGGCTACACATTGCGCACTTTGGTGAGCTCGCTCATCACCGACTGCTGCTTAGTGTCACCAACCGTTGCATAGATGTCATTTTACGTCAAATAGATACTTCTAGAGCTTCCTCTTTTCTTTACAGGTTTGTTTTATGAGGACAGTGACTCGCTGGATTAGGTGCTCTCATTGCACTAGTCGACCAATCAGATGACCACACTTGTTGGTTTGAAAATGTAAGCGAAATGTGCTCGATAACGTAGATATCGCTATATTGTCTTTTAACCCCTTAGTTCCCGGCCGAAAAGTCAGGGGTATATTTTGATCTTATGTTGGAGCTCCAACATAATTTAATATAGGAATTTGTATAGCCCCGAATTTCGTCCAGCTATGCAAATGGATAGTGCAGGGTTGCTAATGGATAAAAACGAGCACATCCAACATATTCCTGTTTCATGTTGGATTTTCTCAGTTGTACTGCTGCATAAGATGACTGATGCAACATTGTAAATGGCCTGTTTATTGAGATCATTGTCTGTGTAACATTGCACACGTCAAGTAAAGAAGAAATAGCCAATAGAAGCAAATCAATGTAACCACTATTCATTTGATTGCACACGCAAACGGCGCACACTACGATTGCTCCCCCTCTGCAGCAGCGTCTTTGTTCGGGGCCTGGTCATCGGCATCGCCGGATGCGTCAGCGTCGGACCCACCCGCTGCTACTTCACTCGCGCACGCCTCACTGCCGCTCGCATCACGTCGGCGGTGTCGCTTCTTGCCTGCACGCTCCGCTGGCGCTCGGTCGCGTATCTTGTGGTCGCGTAGCAAGCGGCTCGGGATGTCATTCCCGTTCTTCCAGTCGAGGTGCCATATCTGAAAGCACGTGCGCTCCCTTTCCTCCCTAACAACGTTGCAGAGATACTTCCTGCGGCACAACCTACCGTCAGCGCTATCACCGTGTTAGTATCAAGCATGAACAGCATGTACGTACCTCTTTGGCCCTGCAGAGCATTCTTGACAGTAATACTTCGTATACTTCCGCGGCACCACCTTGTAGATAGCACACACTTTGCAGGTTCTGTGGCGACGCTTCTTTCCGGTTTCAGTGTCGGCCTTGTCTGGGTTCTCCGCCAGTTCGTGGCCATCATCAATGCGGTCTGAGCCACGTCGCTGCTCCTCCCGTCTTGGCGACGCTCCTCGTGCAGAGTGAAAGCGGCTGTACGCTCCTCAGCGGAGGTGAGATTTCTAGAATAGGAAACATAACCAACATAACACATATTAGTAAATGCATTTATGTTGCCAAGCCCATCATAGCAACTTACCTCAATCTCAGCGAAAGAGTTTTCATCAATAGCAAGTAGTTGTTCCATGAGTGTCTCGAAGAATGCGGAATGCTTCGGGGATTTGTGCCCATTGGCACGCTGGTTGTGTCGATACACAATAAAGGCGTTCACCAACGCCATGTCCAGCAATCCGAGAAACAAGGTCTTGTAGTACTTTCGTGATTTGTACGAAAGCTGCACGCTGTAGCGTTGCATCCGGAGCTGGTCGTGCACATCAACACCTCCCATGTATCGGTGATAGTCACGAACCAGATCCGGTGCCGGTAGCTCTTTCATCTGGCCTTTGATACGCCGCACTACAATAAAAAAGCACAATAGTGAGCAATGATACATATATATAAACACACAGGCTTACTTACTGACACTGACTGTTTCTCTGCTGCCACCACTGCTCAGCATGTGGACGGGATTGCGGTCCATCCACATTGCTGCGGTTATCTGCGGAAAAAGCTTATTTTCAGCCAGCTTGATTGTCCCCTGTGGTGGTACTAGCTCTCTCACACCATTCACGGCTCTGTAAGACTTGTCAGTCTTCACATCCTTCGCGTACCCTGCCATACGCGTCTGGATCGTACCCGTAATGTACATCCGTCGCTGCAACAGCTCCAACGCCAGCTTCACCGACGTGTAAAACCGGTCTGTGATTACCAAACGCCACGGGGAGGTCGGTGATGGCGGGCACAGCGCGTTCATGTTCCTTAGTACGGCAGCCTCGCCGCAATTATTATCAGCAGGAATCGGAGTCCGGGGATTACTCTTAGCACCACAGTACACCTCGAATCTGAACAGTCGCACAAACGCACACGATATTAGTAAAAGTAATAAATATGTTGGATTAGGAAATTCTCCACAATGTGGATGTTTGCCCGTCCAACATAAGCACTTAGACCAAAAAAAAGGTGGCAAGCATTAGCTTGCCACCTTGAACGCACCTCATGCAATAAGCTGTATCTGCACACGCTGCCACGAACACCTTGGTCCCCCACTTGTGCGGTTTGTCCTTGTTGAACTGTCTGGTAGGATTGTAGCGGGATCTTGAAGGCAGCGTAGCTTCGTCAAAGCTAATGACAGGAGGAATCTTGTAGCCGCGCGCAAATGTACGCTGTAAAACCTCGATAACCGGCCGAATCTTCCATACACGATCCGTGCTAGCTTGAGGCGACTTGTTGTTGGAGAAGTGCAAGTATCCCATTATGTGGAAGAACCGGTTGCGGGACATGTACTTGCCGAAGCGTGGCGTTGGCAACGCACCAGCCGGTGTCAACTCCCAGTGAGCAGCAATCCCCTTTCGCACTGGAGACAGCATCCTTGCAATGAGAAGCGCGATGACGCGCAAAACCTCCCACGGTTCTATCGGCTTCACACGTGCTAGTCGCCGACGAATATCTGCGAGGTTCTCTACTTTTCCACCACCACGACGCTGCTTCGCTTGAATCGCCTGCGCACGACCCGGTATCGACTGCGTGTGGTAGCGATTGCTCTCGACGGCAATCTGTCTCCACAATTTTGGCGGTAGGTAGTCGAAGTACAGCGCCAGTGGGTCTTCAGCCACTCCAAGGACGCTCTCAGATGGTCCATAAGGCCCGTCGTAAAGGTCTTCATACGTAGGATTGTCTCCAAATTTGGACTGGTCTACAAATAGCACATCAAAGTGAGTTAGATAATGTTAACATTATGTTAGACAACGACGGAATAATAGTTGCGTATGTTGGATAGCGCTCAACATAACTTACCATACTCCCAGCCAGAATGTTTCATCTCCGCCAAACGCGCCGCATTCATCGCCACCGACTTGCAGAACGTGTCCAGTAGTTCAGTTCCAACGCAATCGGCTAACTCCTCATCAGAGAGTTCTCCAAGCTCCCAATCTCCTTCCCACTCACTGTCCGCGTCGTCATCGTCTGAATCAGGACCAGATTCCTCTTCTGATCCGAGGCCAGTGCACTCACGTGCACCAGCCGCCATGATGTTAGGATCACCGTCGACTACGCAGGCGACAGGGAGATGCGGGGCAGCTGACGCAGCACCGGTGTCTGTGGTGTCACTTATGGTGCCTTCAGCTTGAGCTTCGCGTTCTGGACTGTCTTGTAGGACGCGGCGGCGTCGTTTCGGGGATCTTTGCGTAACCGGCGCCTGCTTGTTCGTCCGAGGGGGGCGCAAGGTCTCCACAGCGCCTTGAGCATCTCGCACAGGCGTTAGAAGCGCACTTGAAGCCACAGTTGAAGCCACAGCCATCACCACGTCTGCTACAACTTCCTCCACCTCTGGTTCCACAGAATCTTCCTCATTTTCTGCAACAGGTATTACCTCTTTAGCTTCGTCCGTACTCGCTGTTGCTTCTGTCTCTTTGGGTGCTGCCGGCTCAATATGTGGACCTCTAGACTCTGCTATCTCCATGGCTGTCGTCGTAAGTTTCACCGCCCTCTTCCTAGACTGCTTCTTCAACGCACGCCCCTCAGCGCCATGCTTTGGCTCTGCTGCTGACTGCCTCTCGTCGTCTCGACGAAGGCGACGCTTGTGGCGGTCACTGAGGGCTGCCTCGCACAACCGGGTCTCTTCCGCTGTCAGCGTCCGTCGTGGCATCTTGCCAGACGTCGCCATTATTCTGGTCTGCTGCCCCCGCGGTCGTTTTGAAGTATGAGAGAGTTTTGTGACTGTCGGCCACCCGTTGGTGGTGGGTGACACCGCCTCTCTTTATCTCGTTCAATCAGGAATCCGGTCCAGCTACCCTAAGCCTGTGCATCCGGCCGTTTTAGGCTCCCACTTTTGTCTTGACTTCAGTATTGAGCTTTCCTGCGCTCTCTTGAGATCTGTTCAATACAAACTCCAAGTCAGTTTTTCTCTTATGTTTAGCCGCTAAACATAACATAGATGCCGAAAAAAACTGAAAGAAGCTATACACCTCTTATGTTTAGCGGCTAAACATACGGGAACTAAGGGGTTAAAGTCTTCCTAGAACAGTCGGGGACGACAGGGGTTTATAAGCGGGACTCTCGATGGTCATCGCGACGCCAGCACTCTTGGAGGTTGGGGATACGACGACAGGTAGCTCTCCACTTGCGCAGTATCGCTCCACGCCTCGACCTGGGCGATAGATGTAGTACAGTGTGATCTGTATGGCACCCAGCACTACACCAGCCAAGTTGAGGCCCGTGATGAAGTAGTCGCTGTCCAGTAGACCCGTGGCCACCCACAGTACCGATGACGCGAAAATCATGAGGCTTAGGTTGAATGGGATGGAAGCGGCCGACTTAGTCTGCACGACATGCTGAAGAGTTGCGAACGGAGACGCGAACATGCAAACGTTGATGAGGACACCAAAGTATCCCAGTAAATTGCTCGAGTCATAGTTCGACTGCCCGGTCGCCTCAGCAAGCGACAGCACAAAGTAGATCGTGATCATACAGAGCAGAACGAGCGCTGCTACGTACAACTTGAGCGTGTCCTTACGCGCTTGCTTCGAGCTCCAGTGAAAGTAAATGAGGTTAAACACAGCGCGCAGCAAGCTGTCCGAAGCCCTAAGAGACTGCGACCGGGAATATACTATCGCGTAGAATACCGTAGCACATCCTTTTTCAAAACAGCGTAGTTTAGTTTAGCAGGAGCAACACTTCACATGGCAGCTTACTTGATGTGATCGACGTACCACAAGTGACAATTCACTAGCATCGAAACCTGAGGCAGCGCGGGCATTTCACCGATACTCTGGCGACGGTGAATTGTATACATGTCGGGACCTAGACTCAGGTTCAACATGACTTGTCCAAGCGCAGTCACGACATCGAGAGCAGTCTTCCAGCCGGTCATTGTGCTGAAATCGATCGCTGTTGTTTATTCTGTCAAAGAAGAAGTGAAACAGAGAATGAGATCCTGTCACTTCATTGTTGTTAGCTCCGCGTCCTGAAGTCTCGAACGTCAGAGGTGAAACCCAAGCATCTTAGTTGGATGGACTGTTTCGATTGGTTGTGGTTGCCTCGAACGGATTTGCAATACTTAAGTATTTTTGGTAATCCTTTGGTTTGGATGGACCGCATTGTCGTTTTACAAATTAGGCCGAGGCTATTCATAAGCAGTAAGGTATTTGCAATTATACATGAATCGATAATCGCTAAGAATACTGCAGTCTAGCAGCAAGCGCATATACATGTTGTTGTCGGTACATTATTTAAAATATAATAAATCTTGTGGATAAAAAAAGGTTTATTTACCGCACCGATAACCGGCCTGCGATCGACCAATCTAGCACGATGCGGTAGCGAGCTTTTCCTTCTTGTATGCGCTCAATACCTTCGTTCACTTGATCCATCGGTAGGCTCTCTACAATCGGGCGCACGTTTTTCTCGGCTGCAAGCTTGAGAGTATCAGCAACGTCTTGGATGCTGCCGACTAAGTTCCCGACGACACGGATGCCGTTCCCCACAAGAAACATGGGTTTAAATCGAATGTCGTCGTTTGGAACACCAAGCATCACTAGTGTACCAAGCTTGCGAACCAGACTGAGGTACGTGTTATACGGCAGGTCTGGGGCGGCAACCATCACCAGTAGCAAGACAACAGTACCAGCAGCCTTCTTCACATCTTCCGGACTGCTGAGATTGTAGAACTCGGTTGCACCGAACTCTCTTACCTCTTCTTCTTTCTCCCTCGCGTTTAAGCGGAGAATACACGGTCGATCCAGCGCACATGAGCGGCGCAGCAGCATCTGAAGGGATGTTCTCTGGGATCGGGAACGCATATTTGCTGGAGACGCGAATGTAGTCCGCAAAGCCACCGAATGACTGGTGGCCGTCCTCGTACTTGGCGTTACTTGTAAATACGGCGCGACTACAGTAAGCGTCGTTCCCAGACGCGCACTCCCGGCAAGGTCGAGTTTGGTCCTTATTCAGACACGCCCACGCATTGAAACCGACTCCAACTCGGTCACCAAGAGAAAGATTCTTGACGGCAGAGCCGGTCTGAGTCACTTCACCGACGATTTCGTGGCCGACGACGCAGGGGAACGGAGCTGAGGGGCTTTTCAGGGCGTGGATATCCCCACCACAGACGCCACAATGGGAAATCTTGACTTCGACGTCTTCCTCACCGAGATGCCGTGACTGGTACTGCCACGGCTTAAGACTTGCCCCAGCTTGGAAAGCAGCGTAGGCGTTGATCGTGCGGGGACCGAAGGCTGTCGACATACTTCTCTTAATGAACGCTGCGGAATTCAGCATTAAGAGCTGAACTTGTTTTTGTTGAGAGTGATTTGGAAAGTCCCGTCACGAGTCGAAGGCGTAAAGGAGCCTGAGGTATTAAATGAACAGCTCCAATCTGCAGCAGTGACTCACGCGTGAATTAATACATGTAGTACAGAAATCTTCGTAGGAGGTCGACTGATAAATTTGCATAGGTCAATCAATGCGATTTGGCGATTTGTCTTTAATTCCTTCAATTTCTGTGATTCGATATCAAGGGGTATACGAAGTGTAAGTAGAGGACTTCTGTACAGGCACTCTTGCAATTGAGTATTATTAAAAATGCCATGATTTCTTTGCGTACGTTTAGATGAGTATGTTTAGAGGAGATTGTGGTCTCATCTGCAAACAGCTGACACTATTATACTGTAGGCACCTTTCGAGGCCAGTGTTGATTGTGGAATGTGGGATAGTTGTATCCCACATCCCGTGTAAGTCCCCCTGAATAAGCGTAGGAAATCATCTCTTTAATTGTTATAGGTATTTCTCTTCGGCTTCTAAATTTGTCAGATGTACCCCAATTCATGTTACGCGATATAAAAGGGTATACGAAGTACAAGCTAGGGACTTCTGTACTTGCCCCCAGTAGGATAAATTTATGGAGAAAGAGCTCTCCCAGGAGGAGTTTAGCTTACAGTCGCCCAGGGCTCCCGATAATGGCATTAATGGCAGTTCAAATTTCGAGGCTCCCATACAGTGTGCATTTGAATCCGAGAAACCCATTAATGGAAACCATGGCCTTTACTTACAAAAACTAGTATTAAAGTGTGAAGGCATAACCTCATTCATTATGCAATTTCAACCGCACCCGAGCTCCCATACATTTTACGCATTAAAATAATGTACTTTAGTTATTGTACTTATGCATTAATCGGGAGCCCTGCAGTCGCCGCACAACTCGCTCATGCTGAATTCGCTCAGCGATCTCGGAGGAAGGACAAGAAGCCGGGCACTTTGCTCGCGTAGCATGAATGGGGGGGGGGCTTGCAAGCTACACGCCAAGACCAGGCAGTCGCCGGTGATTGATACGATGTAGGCGTATAATAACGGATATTACTTGTATATTTAAAACGACAGAGTGAAAAGGAAAAAAAAAGGGGGGCGTGAATCTGCAATTGAATGCCCAGTAATTTCATGTTACACGAGCTAAGCGTCCACATCAAACGGGGACTGACGATCTGTCTTTTCAAATACACAATTAATATCTGTTATTATACGCTTACATCATATCAATTACCAACGACTGCCTAGTTACCTCCTCCATTCATGTAATACGAGCAAAGCGTCCAGTATCAACCGAGAGCTATCAATACAGGACTGGCCTTCCCTCAAATGTTGTCTTGCTCTACCGAATTGAACTTTTTCCTCAAAGCGCTACTATTAATAGCCCAATCCTATAGTATATAGCAATGGAACTTTGTTCAGCTGTTGCACTGAGGCTGTAAACGTTATTACATGTAATAGCAGCCAGTCTAGCTAGATCCTTTCATTATAATACCTCGATTAAATAAAACGACCTGTATTTATTGAAAATCGATCATCAGGCTAAGTGAAAAAGACAAAAAGCATTGCAATGCTGCAGTGTACTACTAACGTTAGTAGTAAATCTAAATATTCTACTACAAATCATTTTCTCATAAAAAACCTCTCTAATCACAGATATACTTCTGTATAATGTAAGTTGGTGGAAAACCCGTGTCTTTTATACAGAAGTATACCCAAGATATCAGTGATCAGAGAGGTTCTTTATGAAAAAATGATTTGTAGTAGTATATTATTAATATATCTACTTCTGAAATTTTAAATGTAAGATTGCGACGACTACACGGTGTTCTCCATATGATCTGCTATAGTAAAAAAAATGCGGATGGGTCTATTGACACTATAATAGCTAAAATTTCTCCATCAATATTGATCAAGCAGAGGTGCGAGTGCAACACGTTACATATAACAGTATTGTGTACACACCCCCATGCAACTAATTTGAGCTCTCGTACCCTAGTGTCCATTTCATCGCCCTCAGAAACTCAGCCCATACAAATATCAAGTCAGCCAAAATGACACATGTTTTTATTTTATATAGGTTTTTGTATTGGACCGATGGTGGCCGTAAATTGTGTCCAGCCAGACAAATCTCTTTTTTGTATGTGAGCCTCCCTATAAAGTGCAAAACCGCGAGCGTTAGCACATCCTTGCTATTTTGAAGCATTTTGCGACTTGTGTGAAAACCGCACCGTCGAATAATAAAAATTGACTGAGTTATGGGCACTCGACGAGATGGCCGTTTAATTGTGTCCAGGAGTGGAGTAGAAGTACACTGCAGCTTTGTTAATTCTAACGAAACATTTTAACGACAAAGCATCACTTTTATTGTCAAGCAGAAAAACGTACTTCGAAGTGATGGCTTCAACAAATTGAAAGTATTAATGCTCATGTAAAACGATCTCTTTTACAGCCGAAGCGAAAACTCTAACATATACGCAATTCTTCGCTACTAAAAAGGCCAGGCTTCGTCGAGCTTTTTCTGAAAATTTGCGTCGCTGAACGGTACATTGCCGATTTCCGTTGAGTTGAGAGCCACTCGCGCCGCATTCGGCAGCTGACTCCACATGACAAGATCCTGGACATTGCCTTTATCGACCGTCGGTTTCAAGAATATGGGCCCTAAAACAAGCGTACTGGCAAGTTTAAAGCTCGTACCTTCGAGAAACGGGTCCAAGTTCTTCGTCCGCTTGTCGTATGTAGTGTCAGACTTGAACATCTCTTTTGTAACGGGCTTAGTGTGGTCGGTTTCCGATTTCTTCGACGTCGATAGCCCCAATATCTTGGGGGATTCCACGTCGGGGTTGCTGATCCACACAACAGCATTTTGCCAGTCATGCGTTGCCGTTGCAACCATCATGGTAATCGCTTTAGGGTAGTACCAGGCGTACATGATGGCCCAGACGCCCTTGTACCACGTAGCACGTCCATAGACTTGCGAGCCGAGTTGATTGTATTGTTTAACGCAGAAATAGTTTCCTTGTTCCGCCGGCAGCCCCGTGCTCGTCTCACCCTTAGCATTCACAGCAGGGAACGAGTAGCAACCTGTCTCGACGTGGAGTTGAGGCTTGAACTTGATGCCCGCCCTCAGGCTGGGCGATTGGCTGCACTTTGTTGTAAGCGATAGAAGCAGCATTCGCGGTGGCAACGACACCTGCCAAGACGACGAGGAAAGCGCGGCATTGCATGTGGTTACTTCTTTTAAAGACGCAGAGGACGGCACAAAGCAAATTGAGGAATGAAGTGTCAGTCGTTTCACGCAAGCATTGGAAAGTCTACAGTATAAAAATATGGAGTCCATATTGCAAATCCGATTGACATCCGTTCTAATTGTGGGAAAATTTACGCCGTCCCGCCACTTATTTCTCCTCAGCGCTTTGGACAACTTATATCTTCGCTTTGTGAAATGCAGACATGTCTAAGGCTTGGTAGGGCGAGCCGAGAACTCTATTTGTCGAGATGGATCGTAGTTTTTGGCTTAATTTTGGTGGTTGGTTTGAATGTAAAACTGGGAGGCTACAAAAAGAAGACTCAAGCAAATCGAGAGCCCGGGCTTCAAGTCGGCTCGTTATTTTATTGAAAAGCTGTCGGCTAAGCAATATTCCAAAGATTATCATTGACGGTCTCTCCCACATTGGTGAGCTACTGACACACCTCCTTGTAGTGGTAAGCCTCTTTTATCACTATCCGGAGGAATCACTATCCAGAGCTGTACCCGTATCATTACAAGTAAGTTTACTATCGTGTTTATGGATTGCGCTAAGCCCTTATTTGGAGCGTGGAATTTTGAAATTCTATACCCGCACCCGTCTTTGTGAGCTACTGGAAGCACACGGGTACAATAGTTGTGGATATGAGTCCTGAAGTGGAGGAGACCCATCACCGACAGGGGTTCCGAAAATGTTATTTTTATTATATATATTTTTTTATTTTGCAGTAAAATAATTTATTTTCGAGCTCCCATTTCAAAATCAAATAATTTATTCTGCGGTCTCTCCAGGCAATAACCTTTAGCCGGGCTGATGGAGCCCTACGGACCAGCGGTCCAGCTAAACCGCAATCTACGATCGATCTGCCGCGCTCTTGTCCTCTCATTTTGATGGTTGGTCGCTGAACTGAGCCTACTGGAACGCTGCCACAGTCCGGAAGGTTGTGCGTGGTGAGGCTCCCACCAACTAGACGAGTATCAGCCCACTGTATATTGCATGCAATAACACCAATAATTTTTGCACCCGTGGTGCTCCAAGCACTTAAAATTATTTTTATTGCTGTTTTGCCAGTCTCAATATAAATAACATTTTCGGAACCTCTGATCACCGTCTTCCCGAAATGACGACTGCATCTTATCCCACAATATAAATATGCACGGGAAAGCATAATCGGAACAGACTGCTGATTAGTCACTACAGACAACGACGGTGAAATCCGCCATACCATACAAATCCGCCACGAACACTTGAAGTTCAAAATAAAAGATTTGAACAAGTTTTTATTTTAACCAATGATAGAGTAAATTGAATCGACTGGTTCCTACGGGTAGCATAACACATATAGTTAGAATTTCTATCACTCTGGAAATGGCGCCTCAGCGCTCCTATACAATTCTAACCAAGCGCGAAGCAATCGCGACTGCTGAGGCGTTAGGAAGCTGCCAAGCCGCATCAAAGAGACTAAATATCCCTCGCACGACTCTTCGCGACTGGCTAGACGATAAAGAGAACATCCAAGACTTTGCGGGTGCCCAAACCAGCAAAACCTTGAAGGGCCAGAGTGCAGCGCCGTTAATACACTTCTCTCACGATTTGGTAACCTTTATGAAGGATGTGCGACGAGAAGAATGGGTAAACCGTCTTCTTATTAATTTATTTCTATATTGTGACCTAAAACCGCTTGTTGCTTAGTATTTGTACAGATTTACTTATTCAATATTTCAAAGAGCAGCAAACGCGATGGCTTCAAACGTATCTTGCTGGTAAGGAAAACGATGAGAAGGGTCAAAGTGCGTTTATGAGACTATGTCAGCGGTTTGCAGCACGGTAATATCTTTTGATTTTGCTGATTTTATATAATTGCTTTATTAAATAGTGTGATAGTCGTGGAGCTACTAACACATCCGGTTGGACATGTATACTCAGTGCAGGAGAGCAGTTTTATGGATGCCAAAGTGTGGGCGATATATGTACGAGAGCTGCTCAAGTTCGAGATCGAGGCACTATCAGTGCTTATACTCGATAACTTCGACGCACATGTTTCAAAAGAAGGACTTGATGTTGTTGTCGAGACAACGTCGGCCCTGGTTTGCCAGCTACCGCCCAACAGTACAGCGGCCTGCCAGCCACTAGACGTTGAGGTTTTCAACTTTGCTTTTTGCTAATTAATTCGTTTTATCTACCAATAAAAATGTGCGACGGATTTTCCTGTCGCGAAAACAAAAAAAGAACTACTATGGAGGATGGCGTTCAGAGGGTGGCGAATTTCACCGTCGTTGTCTGTATCTTAAGTAATCTACGGCAGTAATGACTTATTGATATACCGGAAACGAAAGCGTAAAGGTTTGTAGCTAAAAGGCATTGTGGTTTTTATACATTTCGGATGATCCGATTTGCTGAACACCTCCGAAATAGAAAGTAGGGTAAATTAAGGCTCGGGCCGGATATGTTGATGGGCACTTCGAATTAGAAGAAGTGCCAGAATTGCCTTGCCTAAGTGGTCTGCCCAAAATCATTTGCTAGAACACTATGTTCAAGCGTAGTCTAGCCGCCATAGGTGATCATAGCACCACTTTACTCGGCAATCGCACTACAGTATGCATACGTTTAGTGTTTATCTCTTCCCCAATTAGTTGATACAAGAGCACACGGTAAGGATTGGGTGCACTCAGCGACTGGTGACCAGCAGTGCTGACAGCACCGGAGCTTGAGACCTTGAGAATAAGCCTGCCCGTCTCTATTGTTTCTAAACGACTCGATTGGAAGCCCCAAAGTCGTTAGGCAACGTAGAATCGTAGGCTCAACCAAACGAGTTGATTAGAGTCCCATCTGCGGCTCATAAACTGGCTCATCTTATTCATGTGGCCGTACGACTGCAGTCAGGAACGTGCCCGTGAAGCACGAATATCACCAGTCTGGAGATATTGCATGGGTCAGGTACACAGTACTGTACTTGACATGAACATCAAGCACGTTTACCGGTGTACAGTACTACCAAGCGAGAAATTGACACCTGGTACTATTCAATTACGTGTAGTACTCAGTAGACTGGTAATTAGATGTTCAAACTACCGGTAGCCGCAACAAGGGAACAGAGGGTTAAACATAAATTAAGACATTCTAATACCGGTATTATGGGTTCCAAATTTGGGAGTCGAGCGCCTTTTAGATATAATAATTTATGCGATTCGATGAAGTTTTCGACTTCCTGTGAGAAGTGGGTACACTTTCTATTTTGACTAATGATGAACGCTAGTTGATTGAGTTGAGCGTGCTGGAAGTATCGCCCTTGGGGTCATTAATAAGTGGCTGAAAGCACGACTTGTGATTGTTGGCTGCCATCGCAGCTAGTGGCAAAGCAGCCATCCACCGATGTCTTTGCGGCGGTTGGTATCTGGATCTGGACTGAGGCTTAAAATGACTTGAGCGACAACAATAGCCGCGTTGAGTACAGTGGAAAACCAGTTGCTCATCGTTTGCTCTCTTGGGCCAGAAAAAATGGGTACCGACTGTTGGATAATGACAGAGAAAGAAACTTGCAAGGTCGACAACCAGGAGATACGCTTGCGTGCAGAGCTGCGAATAAATAAATTGATGTCGCAATAATTGCAATACATTTTTTTCTATCATCTATTGAACCGTTTCACGGAGCTGGTAGCAATTATCTGTCGACTTTCCCGTGTCATCTATTGGGAATAAACAGCCCAGCTTTAAAAAAATTTAAGCTCGTGATCAGTTATAATACTGAAACAATAAATTATTGACTGAATGTTGCTTATTCAATAATAGCGGGGTCAATATCAATTATCTATACAATGTTTTTATTGGCAATAGATAAAAATGCAATATTCCGCAGCCACAGGAAGTAGCGGGCTTCCTAAATTTTGGGACATGGACCCAATTTCCACACCGCCCAACATTTAAAAATTCCACCGCTTTTCATTATACAACCAACTTAGAGGTGGAGTCCTGGGTTCTTGTCCGAGTATTGCTATTTATATGTCTTAATGGCGAAGAGAAGCGACAAGAAGAAAGTAGAGGATATTTTAAGATAACTTGCGCGTTTCTCAAGATATAAGCTTTATAGTGGTGCTGTGTGACCCCGTCACAAGGAGAAAGTCGGGCTGGGGCGGGACGGGGCAAAAGCGCGTAATAGTGAGGTGTATGAGCTTCAGGGCAAGTTTAGACGTGAATGCCGAAGTGAAAAGGTTTGAGTTGGCGCAAACGGCGACGTCAAGTGGGTGGGGTCTGAAATTTGCTTGCTGACAGCCGGTCGGCAAAATAATACTGAAGTATATTAATCAGCAGATATTTTAAACTAAAAAATGATCACATAAAAATATCAGTTTTTAGTTTTTTTCGGAATATCCTTCGAAAGAACTTTTGAAAGCATGAAAGTGCCTGAATATTTTGGTGCTTGGACTCAGTTCAGCTCAACGTGTGCACATGAAGGTGAAGGAAAAATCGGCATCCATTAACTGCGTTGTTGTGACCTTACTTCTCCCGCTGGCACCCCAAACAGACCCGTGATTGGAAGGTTCGCGTTGCTTAACACGTGACATCAGCTCGTTGCACAGACTACTCCAGCATTTATCCATCGCCCGCCAGCAATTACACGCTACTTGGAGTCGAATCGTCGTACATGGCGATGCTTGCGACCTGCCAAAACTTCAGAAATGAAATGAGACAGACCCAGGTTTCCGTCACCATCGGCAGTGATCGCATAGTTGAAGCAATAGCCGTTGCATGTATTTGAGCAATAATTTAAAGGGCGGTCGAAGAATTCCGATGTCATGACCTCAGTCTGCAATCGACTTGCGTGTGCGTCCGCCTCCTCCCGCACACGTGAATCCACACTCACAGCCATGGTTGACGCCTCCGTGCTCCTGGTGCTTCACATCATGACGGCATTATCGTCGTTCATGGTCTCACTGAGTCCATCTTTCTCCATTTACAAGATCTACCAGAGCAAAACCGTCGGGAACATCTCCATAGTCCCATTCGTCTCGCTGCTCGGCAACGCGCACATGTGGATGATGTATGGCTTTTTCTGCGGAAATATATTCCCCGTAGTCGTCTCGTTCGGCTTTAACGACCTCGCGGCACTCGTCTACATCTCTGTGTACTACACCTTCGCTGAAGACCGCAAGTACGTGCTCCGGCGGTACTGTTTCAGTGCTCGCAACAATTACATTGTACGCCGTCATTGCAGCAGCTGGAGCTACAGGCCAGGACTACACCGGTATCAGCCACATTCTAGGCTATTTGAGCATCGTCGCCGCCATCATTCTGTACGGTGCGCCATTCGAGAAGACTTCGTTTGTACTACGCAACAAGAACGCATCTCCCATTCAGCTACCGATGGTTATCTGCGGTGCTACAAACAATGCGCTATGGGTCATCTACACGCCACTAGATAGAAACTGGTTTATGTTCATTCCGAACGCCATCTGCGTCGTGCTCGGTATCGTGTTGCTGACGTTGTATGTAATGTATCGCCCAAGTAAATCAGTACAGACCGCCATTGATCTTTCAGATGACGACATTGCCATCAGAATTGTCGTATCGACCAAGACTGAAGAAATTCAGAACAAGATCCCGAACGCGAGCCCTAGCGTACAGCCCATGGCATCACCGCTGCTTCCATTGAGCCGAGAAAACTCATTTCAACTCAGTTCGCCGTCAATGAGTCGTGGTAGTTCCTTTCAGCAAATGAGTTCGCCCGCGCTGAGCTCTCAAAGCGGCTCTTTCCGAAGTAGCTCTTCCGACTGCGGCTTCACAGCCGAAGCTCTGCAATGGTACAGTCTTGTGAGGATGGTCTGGCAAATCTTCGCCGAATGAATCTTCGGTGGACGTCTCTCGTCGTTCTTCATGCTCCTCTTGAGCTTTTGAGACATCCTCCGAGTGTTCATCTGCAAACCTGACGCGTTTCTTGGCTTTCGTCTGTCGCCGAGTCATCACTGCTATATTACCATAATCGCACTTTGGTGAGCTGTAATCAGCCACGAAATTTTCGAAAGTTTTCCACTTTGAAGACTCGCTGCCTGACAGTACATGTACTTGACGCTCCGCTCCTTGTGACGAAACATCTACCGAGTCTTCATCCGGCTCGTAGATCATTGCCTGGATGCGCTTCAGCGATGCCAATTCCGACTTGCGAGTTTCAGCCTAGATTACCCGGCTGACCTTCCCTGAAGGCTTCAGTGGCTAACGAATCGCGACCGCGTTGTATTCTCGTACAACGTGAAGATATTTAACTGATCGAAGCTTGGCCGTGAGTTCCTTGTGAGTATTCAGCAGCGCTAGCAAAGTTTCCTTCCTGCATGCGATCACCCCTAGTGACTGTTGAATCGCGAGCCTTGAGTCCCCAACGATGACTAAATCCTCGGCACCGTGCGCAATAGCAGCCTTGACACCGTTTATCATACCTGTATACTCTGCCTCATTCACCGTGGTAGCCGAGAGGTACCCCCCCCCCTCCCCAAGAATTCATGCGTCAGTTTAATCTACATGTACCGGTGTTCTCGTATTATAGATCTGTAATACATCCAATGTACAGTTTTTAGAAATCCGGTGCGTGAGCTTCAGTCGAATTGGACAAGCGTTTCCATTCAGGCCGTTCTTTTGCGATGAGTCATCCAAAATTGCTGGTACCTCTTGCAATTGATTCATCAAAACAATTGAAAGCTGCAATATATTAGTCATACCGGTCTTGAAAACGTGCTTATTTTAAAAAAGCATCCTAGTAAAACGATTAATTAAAGCAGGTATGTGACACACTCGCTTCAACGGCTAAACGGCAGCAACTGGCGCTCATTTTCCGATTTGCCAGTCATACAACACGGCTGCATTCCACTTCTTCGCAAGTATTCCCCACCAACATGGTCCGCAACGACGTGGTTCTGGCAGTGCGCTTCTGGATCTGGTGCAGCACGCTGCTCATGATCTACATGCCGTCGCTCTTCGTGCGCCGCATCTACGCTGAACGCGCCGTTGGCTCCGCGTCTATCATTCCCATCTTTCTGGTCCTCGCCAACTCGCACGTCTGGATGCTCTACGGCTACCTGGGTAAAACGTGGTTTCCGAGCTTCCCCGTCTTCCTCATTGGCGACATCGTTTCGCTGTGCTACCTATTCGTCTACTGGCGGTACTCTGACGAGCGCGGCCAAGTGGCCAAACGCATGGGCCTTATGTTTACCTGGCTAGCAGTGCCTACTTTCTACGTAGTCGTCGCTAGCTTGGGCTACACGGGGCAGACTCGAGACGAGATCTGGAAGACACAAGGCTTGTGCTTCTGCGATGTCACAGTCATTTCGACACATATGCTAATGCTCAAGAACCTCATCTTCGCGTTCAAGCAGCGATCTGCCTCGACGCTCGTTCCGCGCTCTCTGGCTGTCACGACATTCAATACGTTTGGCTGGTTCACGTTCGGTCGAGTGACTTCCAACTGGATCATCGCTGGGCCGCAGGTATTCGTCATTGCTCTGCACGTGGCTGCGTGGACCATGTATGTCGTCTTCACTCGACGAACGAGGCTCGAGCCAGACTTCGCTGCCTTGGAGGACGGGTCCATTGTCACATCGGTCAATCTCTCGCCCAAACTCGATGTTTGTAGTACGAAAGGAGCTGCTCCTAGTAGTCCAGAGTACCGTGTTTTGCGATCTCCATTAGTACCGTTGCAGAGCTAGATTAACTCGACTAAACATGTACCAACGAAAGAAAGGAACGACCTCATTTTGTGTACCTCTGTTGTAAGCGAGCGACGGTTTGGCCATTCGTTGCGCCTGGCACAGACGGCTCACCAAAACGGTGCCGGAGCTGCCGATTCGAAGATGAATTACTGCCCTCGCTTTCTCGTTCGTGTCGCCACAATATACCAAGCAATATGATTGACGCGGTGTTCTGGGTCATCAAGATCCCAGCAGCTTTGATGTCGCAGGGGATAATTTGCTCTCCATCTTCCGGGTCCACAAGAAGAGAGACGATCGCGTCCGTCATCCCTATCACCTCGCTAGCTGCCAATGCTTACAATTGGGCTCCGAACACGTTACATGGTGGAGAACTGGTTTCTTATCTTTCGGGTCAACGACGTCGCGGCCGTGTTCTACTAACTCGGACGCCGAGCGACGCTACATGTACGTTCAACGCGTTCTGACGGTATGACTGCGTTTCTGCATCTTCAATCGATTTAACGCACTTTTAGGTAAAGCCAATTGACTCGACACTAGGCAATACCAAGTTGGCATCAGCTGCGACGTCGTTATATGGAGCTCCAATGAAGAATCCATTCCACACACTCAGGGATGCCGAATATTGCATTTTCATCTAATCAAAGCAGAAAATAAATAATTGGGTAAGAGAACTGGCAAGACCGAAATAGATTATTGAGCTTCCTCAACTCAGAAAATAGATTATTGGTGCAGCAATATTGGTACACAGCGAGGGCACAAGTACTAAGGAATGTAAGGCTGATTGAACACCGCCCAATAGATTATTGGTGCTACAACGAGGCGAAAATAGATAATTGGAATTACTCTTTAGAAAGCCTCCAATAGATAATTGGTGCTTTCTTATTGCAATAATTGCAGCACCAATTTATTTTTCGGCATCCCTGCACACACTGAAGTACAAATTGGCTGAATTTTTGCTGGGCTCTCTCCAACAACGTTACGGGGGATCGTGTACGGCATTGTGACGGACAACTGGTAACATCAACTCGCCCAACATGAGGACATCACGGCCAACTCTTCTACGTTTGTGCTCTTTTTGATCTTTAACCCGAAGACCCCACCATCACCATTCATTATTGTGTGATGCCTAGCTTAGGCAATCGCCTGGTACAGGCTACACTGTTTGCGTGTACGATCTTTAACAACGACGCATCGCGGCGATGATCGCCCCTGTCGACTATAGAAGTCAATCACTTTTCCATTTGCCGCGTCCTTCGCAGACGTCTTCTTTTCTCCAGATTAAATGGTAGACAGCTCTGTGTTATGGGCGATCAAAGTCCTGGCAGCGACGACGTCGATCATGATGATCTGCAGTCCCTCGATCTCCATCTACCGCATCCACACGAAGAAGGACGTGGGGGTGGCGGCTAGTCTCGCTACTTGCTAACGGCCACATGTGGATGTTGTATGGCTACATGGTGGAGAACTGGTTCCCCATCTTCTGGATCTTCGTGCTCGGGGACGTCGCGGCGCTCACGTACTTAGCAGTTTACTGGCGCTACGCGAATGAACGTCGCTACGTTGGTCGTGTGCTAGCTGTGGTGCTCTCTCTGTTGGTCATGGCCACCACCTACGCTGTTATTGGAGGCTTTGGACACACAGGACAGAGCCGCCACCAAGTCGGCACGACGCTGGGGCTACATCTGCGACGTGGTGGCGGTCTGTCTGTACGGCGCTCCGATGGAGAAGCTCTTGCACGTGCTCAAGTACCGCTCGGCAGTGTTCATAAACGTGCATATGGTAATCGCTGGACTCTCTAACAACTGCACTTGGATCACATACGGCATCCTGAGCTCGAACTGGTTCATCATTTCGCCCAACATCCTCTTCATCTCGCTCAACTCGTTCACGCTCGTGCTTTACATGGTCTTTAACCCAAAGACGCACCCGCTGCCCGACACTTTCCACCGGTCGACTGTGCCAGAAGGCGCTGATTCGGCCATATCTATTGAGACCACGCCAAAAGAAAGCTTTAGTCGCAAGGTCAACAGCGAACTTCCTAGTCCAGCATTCGAAGCGATGCAATCTCCTTTAGCGACACTGCCGTGGTAAAAGAAATGGCTACACCTCATTGCTGTCGATTAAATTAAAAAATAATAGAGGGGTAAATGGGTGCCACCGTGACTGACATGCTCACGTGACCATGTCAGTCACGGTGGCACTCGAACTTAGAAAATAATCAAAACTAGAGCGTGCTACAGTGTACATGTACCGCATATCTGTAAGCAAACCTTATTCTCGCGTATCGTGAAGATGGGATAAATCGCACTACATGTACATGTACCCCATTTACAATTTACTTCATCTGGAAAATGACATCAAGCGTTGGCGGGTTATATCTCCACCTCTTTTTTATATTTCGAGGTACATAATGGTCAGCCGTCGCAAGAAGTGATGTCCGTGATCCCATTGGCCACGCCACTGGCCAACTGAATGCTCTCCGGCTACGAACCGGTTCCCCGGGAGCCTTCCCAGTCTTCTGGGTCTTTCTCTTTGGTGACCCGCCTCTATTGGCGCTACACACCTAAACACAAACACGTAGCTTGCGTCGTGGTGTTGCTGCAGATACTCGCATCAAACCAGAGGGGCTTGGCTCCACGTCGTTTGCCGAACTTGTAATTGCAAATATTATGCAAACAACATACAATAGTAAATTACACTGACTATTCTAGCGAACCTGTACAGTGTACAGGTTCGCTGTACAGTACAGCGGTGGTCCCTCTGCTGTAAAATTGTAAGTGCTTTGAGCGTTGTTGCATGTATTATTTGGCTGTTCAAGTGAAAAGTGCTTGCAAACGGACTGTCAGTGTGACACTGTACAGAAGTCAGCTGTACGGGTAAACAGCAGCTAGAAGTGTTTCTAGGAAACGCAGTCACTAGTACATTCGCAGCGAGATTACCATTACGTGCTAAAACTGACACACCACGTAGTTTTATGAAGACCTATGGCAATTTCATTAAATGAGATCATTTAATGAGATCATTTATGAACTTTTATAAAACTACTACTGTAGCTGAAATCGTCATAGATTTTCAGAAAGCTATTTTGGGAAACCGCTGTGGCCCAGTGATCTGGTGGTTGACGCAGGTTGCTTAGATTGGTACAACACGGAACGTTCATCCACGATATATTTTGAATTTTTGCTCGCTTGTTGTGTCCAGTATATTTTTACTACATCATGTCGTGTATAACATGAGGTTCATAATCGGTTGGGCCAATTCGTCGTGGCTGTGTTGACTGCCGATGTGACCCAGCGCGAGCCGTAACTGGCATCTAGCGTGCTTCTCTTGGCGCTACAAGCACGCTAGATGCCAGTATTTACGGCCAGAAATAAACCTTTATTTGATCGTGATTGGTGGTCTCCGCAAACAATAATTTCGCGTGTTTAATCGGAATAATTGCTAGACAACTTGTTTTTCGCGCAACCCTGTTATGGAAGTAGTGGATGTGTCTTTGGATTGAACACGCCACAGAGTACCAGTGAGAACGAGTTGAGCGAGATGAAGACGATATTTGGCGAGACAATGAGCCAATTGCTTGTGAGAACGCCATACATGAACCAGAGACAACTGTTAGTGAGTCCAGCGACGACCATGTGTGCGTTGATGAAGAGAACTGGAGCGCTTGAAAGAGTGTTTGCATGGGAGTGGCGTACAGACAAACAACAAAGAAATCGGCACAAAGACCGATAACAGAGCCCATACTATCTCTCGACTGGTTGGTGTATCCTAGTCCTCCGATAATTGCGTAGAGGGTGACAGCAACCAAGATAATAGCCACAACAACCAGAACCCGATTCACGTAGCCCCGTTGCAAGGTGTTTTATTTTCAGTAAATTGAGAGATAACAAAGTGCGACGGCATCTTCGAAAACATTGATCCAGAAAATCGGGAACGAGCTCTCGATCAAGTATCCGTACAATGCCCACACGACGTGTGGTCCCGTTGGTTACTCTCCTGGGCAATAGCCAGGTGAGACATTGCGGGTCGGGGGGGCCCGGGGTCGGGCCGCATCATGAGCAATAAAAGGGATGGGCGGAAAAGGGGGGGCGGGGGGGAACTTATTTAGTTTAAAAAAACCACCCACTCACCCCACAACCCAATCTCATCCTCCTCCCCCTCCCCCCCCTATCCCTCCTTAATCAGCCCCCCTTTTTTTTCCATATTTTATTCCCGGTCGTGGGGTTTTTTTCTAGTTTTTCCCCTCCCCCTTTATTAACATTATTGTTTATTACGAAATTTATTTTTTTTTTACCATTTTACATCGGAAAGATTTTTGTATTTCTTTTCCTCTTCAACCCAACCCCGCGCTCGCCCCGCTTCTCAACTTTTTTCTACCCAATCATGGTCTCTAATTTT